TATAATTATTTTTTTTATTGATTCCAGAGAGGAAGGGAGAGAGAGAGATTAAAACATCAATAATGAGAGAGGCTCATTGATCGGCTGTCTCCTGCACGCCCCACACCGGGGATCGAGCCTGCAACCCAGTCATGTGCCCTGACCGGGAATCGAACCGTGATCTCCTGGTTCACAGGTCAAGGCTCAACCACTGAGCACACAGGCTGGGCATAGCTTGTGTACTTTAGAAGAAAAATGTTATAGTTTGGCACATAATTGGTACAACTCATGGGTTAGGTATTCTGGATAAAAGTTTGTCACTCACTAACGATACTGGAAGTATATGAACTATAATATAGGCATTTTTTAAGTACTCACTAATTCTTTTTTTTATTATTATATTTATTATTATATTTATTTTTTAGAGTGAGAGAGGAAGGGGGAGAGAGAAAGAAACATTGCATTGTTTTTCTACTTATTTACACATTCATTGGTTCTTCTTGTATGTGCCCTGACTGAGGATCAAACCTGCAACCTTGGCATATCGGGACAATGCTCTACCCACCTGAGCTACCCGACCAGACTCACTAATTCTTTTATGCCTGAAGATACTATCCTAATCTGTGGTCATATTATAGCCACTTCCTATAATAAAGAACCTTCCTGTAATAGAAGAAGCAAGCCAAGCTCTTCAGAGATGTTTTCTTTCAGTTATCATTAGGCTAAAACCCATCTCTCAGCCCACCACCCTCGCTTCACCCCCCGCAACTTGGCCCAATTACTAACATATATTTTATCTTAACACTCACTTCATCCATGCAAAATTAGCACTCGCACATAGAGTAAAAGTTAGCAAAAGGGTTATTTCATGTCTCCTTTTATTGACAGTGTTAAACCATGTCTTATTTTACTTTTCAGCTTGCTACCAAATCTCTTACCTTCAACAATTAATGTGGGGTTTTTTATGTGTTTGTTAAAACAGGAAAACTGTGGTATGTCTGTGTGTAATGGTAAAATATATATCCTGGGTGGAAGACGGGAAAATGGAGAAGCCACAGACACTATTCTCTGTTATGATCCTGCAACAAGCATCATCACAGGGGTAGCTGCAATGCCCAGGCCAGTGTCCTATCATGGCTGTGTGACTATCCATAGATACAATGAGAAATGCTTTAAGCTCTAACCCCAGGATGCTTCACCCAAGAAGCCACACCGATCCAAGATGAGAGGTTTCAAAAGCTCCAGAGTGGGACCTTGGCATATCTCCTTTGTGCCATATGCACAAAAAGTAAAAATAGTAACTGTGGTGCCTTTCTCCCCAAAATATTAATCTTTCAAACTGTAATAAAGCCTTCCCTGTAATTGGAAAACAAAAGGGGTTTGGGTTGTTGTTGAAGATAATAGTGGTGTTGCTTGGGCTTTGAAAATGCACCTTTGTAAATATTTGTGAGAAACCTATGTGGAATAGGAAATTCTGTCTGATTACCTTGTAAGAATTTGTGATTGGTCTCTTCATTTATGTATGTTATCTGCAAGACTGTATATTCCTTATTTTGTCATATAGACAGATAGAAAATTGCATGACTTAAGGCTTCATTTAGGTTGAATCACGTAATGCTTACAACACATCCTAAGGAAGAAAAATCGGTTTTCAAAATCTTTGTCACTAAAAATATATTCAAACTCATTAATTTTACTGAAAGGATTTTTTTCTGTAATTGATAAAAATGTGATGACAGCAATTTGAGTAAGATACCAAATTATTACTTCATGCTTAGAATTGCTGTCTTATATTAAACGTATTTTTGAGAAGAGGTTGGGTAGAAGATAGAAAAGCAGATGCCGTTAAAATGACAGGTTACTTTCTAAGGAAAAATTAAGATCCTTTGGAAGGAAAATGACTCACTGTGCCTCTCAGAGTATTTAGCATATCATCTCTAATGCCTCTTAAAGAGGTTCCTTTTCGTGAACCTGGCAAAGGAGTTGAAATCCATTTTGTAATATTATCTTGTGAAAAGCAGGGACAGATCTTCCCAGCCCAGAAGGGTTTGACCTCATTAATATGGTGCTTTGGGTGAGGACTTCTCCCCTGGTTATCCTACTTTCATGTGACCAGCTTAAGTCCTGGGAGTCTCTACAATTAAGTTGTCTTCAAAGGATAAACCAGGGCCCACCTAGCTCGGCCCATTTTTCTTTTAAAATTAACTGTCTGAATAAACTAATGGCAGTAGTTGCAGTCTTCTAATCTCATTTGGTACCATTGTGTAAATTATTGATCAAAATTCCCAAGCTTCTATACAACAAATTGCCTTTGTCTAGTTTTTCAACTCCAGTTTATAAAACTTACTAGTATTCAGGGATGAACTTAAAATTTCTTTCTAAGGCAAATGGAGTAGCAGGAACTACAGCATAACTGACTGTTATTTCTCGGTGGACCGGTGTAATTTACAACATTTTAGGGATGTTCCAGGTTGCCTGCTATGTTTCAACTTCCCAGGCACTGTTGTCTTCTTACATTATAATTAATATAGTCCTTGTCATAGGAGATATGATGCAAATATATGATTGGAGTGTCACCACATTTCTGTTAAAACCAAGGTAGCAATAAAAAACTTAACATTGATAAACTTATTTTTATTATCCTAGAACAGTGATGGCGAACCTATGACACGCGTGTCAGAGGTGACACGCGAACTCATTTTTTTGGTTGATTTTTTTTTGTTAAATGGCATTTAAATATATAAAATAAATATCAAAAATATAAGTCTTTGTTTTACTATGGTTGCAAATATCAAAAACTTTCTATATGTGACACGGCACCAGAGTTAAGTTAGAGTTTTTCAAAATGCTGACACGCCGAGCTCAAAAGGTTCACCATCACTGTCCTAGAATGATAACAGAGATATCAAATAAAATATATGGCATCAACTTAAATGCTTAGCTGGAATCAGAATTCTGAGGAAAACTCTAAAAAACTTACAAATGTTTAGGGAAATTTTACTTTTCAAATCATAATTTTTAATGATATATACCTTTTTGTGGTAATTGTCAGAGCAATTCAGAAAATAATTTTCTGTCATTTTAATTGAAAAATAATTGTATGTACTATTAGGATACTTGTTTTAATTTTTGAGTAAATATCTACTTTTGCATTATATCCTTTGTGTAGATAGTGGAATCTATTTAGTTCAGAAATTCTTTGCAGTATATGAGATAATGCATGAGAAAAGTGTAAATGCTGAGGATTATACAGATGATACTTGTTACTTCATGTTTATTTTTAAGATCATGCCCATTCATAAATACAGACATTTCACATAAAAAATATTTTCTCAAGGTAACTTGTATTCTGGTACTTTTATCTATTGTAAAAGTATTTTAGCTATTGTATTTTGATATTCATTTATTTTAATATCCATATGTTCATTGTAGTAATTTGAAATGAAATTCAATAGAACAGAATTTGTTTAAACATGGACCTCATACCAATATTGTTTAATTTTTTCTCTACATAATTAAAACTACATCAATTAAGTATTCAAACCAAGAACTTAGTTATACTAGGAAATTAAAGCCTAAGGATTAAGTATTCAAACCAAGAACTTAGTTATACTAGGAAATTAAAGAACTATTTTTAAAGTTACCCAAATGATATTTTAATTTTGTTTAATTATTTATCTTCCTTTACTGATTCTTGGTAAATGATGGTGTTAGCATTTTAAAAAACAAAAATAATTTTAGGATATAATTAGTATATAAAAACGGATATATCTACCAAATTGGTCAGGTTATATTCATACTGTCATCACATCATTGACAGATTTTCTTTTGATAGGTAATGCTCATATAAGCCTTTGGGTTAGTGTATATGTATATACATGTGTATGTCTGTAGAGAGTAAGGTCATGTACATACTTATATACTAGTACAAACACCAAGAGTTGTATAAGTTTGTAATGATCAGGAAAAAAACACATAAATTAAAAAATAATTGACCTTATTAAATTCCATTTCAGAAGATTTTCTTATTTGGGAATTTCTAGATTACTTTTTTACATTTAAAAGTACATGATGAGTATTAGTATGAATACTTGTATATAGCCAGAATGTACATAATACATATGGTTTTACAAGGTCAGAAAACAAAATGGAGGTGGAGATGCATTTGCTAAACCCACTCAGTGAGAAAGGGAATTGAAAGTATGTTTTGTGGATCAACCGAAAAGTACAGTTTGTTTTTTTCATGAACTTTAATCCTTTTCCATGTGTTCCTATATGTGAGTGAAAAATTAGAGTGGTCTAATTTTTACCACAGAAGACCTTCCTTTTCTACTCTAATCTTCCCACTGACTTGACTGCACAGGTATGAATTGGTAGCCTGTTGGATTTTAAATAACCTTTTCTTCCCTAGATAACTAAAATATAGATATTTACTCCATTTAAACAGGTGTTTAAGAAAAATGATGTAAATACTCAGGGAGGGTATTAAGTTATCATTTTTGCTTATTTGGGGGGTTTAAAGTGCCATAACTAAATAACCTTGATTCAAGAGTAAATTTAATTTGGTTCATGATTCTAGAGTAAATTTAATTTGGTAAAGGGCTTCACACATGGCAGTGGTTGAACATTCATTCTTTTGTATTTAGGAAGATGAAAATGTTTTTGTGGACTGATACATTTTCTCTTAGTGAATATGAATTGTTTATGTATCTCTACTGTCAAAAACTCTTCTTGAAACTCAGGAAAGACAAAGGTTCAATTATACTACTTTTGTCAGTATGCAAACCAGGTGTGTTGTGTATGGTGTGTTTTTTTTCCTGTTGTCTGGATATGGCAATAGATTTTTTTTTTTTTTAATTTCAGAGAGGAACAGAAAGGGAGAGAGAGAGAGGAAAACATCATTGATGAGATGGAATCATTGGTCAGCTGCCTCCTGCATGCCCCACACTGGGGATCAAGCCCACAACCCAGGCATGTGCCCTGACCTGGAACTGTGACCTCTTGGTTCATAGGTGGATGCTCAACCACTAAGCCACCCTGGCCAGGCAATAGATTTTGTTTAATTGCTGTGAGAACCCATACATGAAAAGAAAGGGGTCAAGTTGTTCGTGTGTGCCTGTTGTGTCTTGAGATATCTATGTGGAAAAGACATCTACTCCAGACTGTATTTTCAAAGAATAAAAATTGCTATGTATGTGGTGCCATGTGATAAGATAATGTCTGTTAAAGGCTTCCTGTGGACGGCCTTTATTTTAGTAAACTCAAGACACCAGTTAACCTCAACATAATTTTGGCCTTATTAGAATTTGTTGTGCATTATATTAAAAGCCAGGTTTACATCACCTCAACCCATTATTCATTTTAGTTAAGTAAATATATTCACCATATCATGTAACCAGAATGGGGCAGTTTGTTTGACCTTTAAGGCAGTAGGTTTGACTAGCTAGCTATACTTACACACCACTTGAGCCAGGAGTGTGAATTGAGAATTCCAGAGACATTTTCAACATACTTCAAACATTTTAAAATATTTTATATAAATGTTTTACATTTGTGTGATTGCCTAGATATTAAATTTACTTAGTGCTAAAGATAGTCATCATACATAATTCTTTTAAACAGCATTAGTCATAACTTATTTTATATATTATTCCAAAGAAAAGAATTTTAATATTTTTAAAATGACTGCATCTGAATTTGTGCCTTAAGTTCTCCCAGTGCTATTTCAACTTTTTTTCAATCTAAATAAAGCTTAATCTTAGAAAAGTTTCATATTTGTTTACTACAGAGTAAATAAACCTCTTAATTTTTTTTTTTTCATTTCAGTCCTTCTTAATTTTTTTAATTAGCACCAACTGTGTGGTTGCTTGGCAGAATGAGAAAGGTTGTTGGGTGTTTGGAGTTTTATTATATTTTTTGGTTTGTTTGGGGTTTTTTGTTTTGTTTTTATACCAAGGTGCTTTTTAAGATATTCAGGAAAAACACATCAATCTTACATTAAATAATAAGCCCTTGTAAACATCATTTGCAATATCTACATCCAATGTCAAAAAAGTAAATTTTATTTTTGTTCCTTTATGTTCTGTGCGCGCGCGCTCGCTCTCTCTCTCTCTCTCTCTCTCTCTCTCTCTCTCTCTCCAGACTTTTTCAGTTAACTTCCTGGGGAAAGTTCTTACTCTTACCCCCACCCCCATCACCCCTCCATGGTTTCTTCATTTAAATTTTTGTTGAAGTTTCTGGAGCTATCTGAGACAACACAATTACAGAATTTAACAGAAGTATAATATGCTTTAGAACTTGTACAGAATGACCATATGTCATTTGCCTTCAATTAGAGGCTCTAGAGTCTTCACAGTGGAGAAAAAAGGCTTTGTATTTCTTTGTTCTCAATTCAATTGTAGCACATTAATACTTACATGTTTTGTTTAAAATATTTTGTGTATAGTATTTTTTAAAAGTTGTATCTAATAAAATGTCTTTTAACCATTATTACTTGATTATATGGGTGTATTAAATTTTGTTTACCAAAAATTTGTTGTTTTGTTTTTTGTTAATCCTCACCCGAGGATATTTTTTTCTGTTGATTTTTAGAGAGGGGAGTGAGGTTGAGAGAGAGATTCATCCACCTGAGGGAGACACATCAATTGGTTGCCTCCTGCACTCACCTCAACTGGAGATTGAATCCAAAACCCTTAGTGTGCAGGTCAACACTCTAACCACTGAGCTACCAGTCAAGGCTGTTCTATTTTATTTTAAATATATCCAAGTGGTTATGTGAAAAAGGGATTGAGGAAATACATATTAACATATG